GCCCAGAAGTGAGAGAAGCTGTCTCGTAAAATCCAGAGCTGAAATCTTGCGAACAGGGACAGGAGACTTGGCTTAACTTGGCTGGCAGGACACGCTAGCTGCACGCAGGCTCTGAAAGGCATCTAGGGATGCTAATGTCTCATCTCAAAATAGAATTCTCTTAGCAGAAAAACAATTCTCTGGTTCATGATGTACATAATGAATGTTCGTATTTCTGTAAGCAAAGCCATCGAGTGATTTCTGTTAAAACCTTCTGGGATCTATAACGAAATTTTATTCTTTTTCTTGTTTCTTTCCTCCTTTTTGAACTGAGCATGAGTCACGTGCTATACAGTTTGTCTTTCTGTTTTTCTTCTGTCTCCTGCTCTCCTTATCCTACCATGTGGGTTCTGAAAACAGTTGATCTGGAAAATAGAAGTTGCAGCATATCTTAATGTTGTTTGGCTTCTTTCTGATTAAAAAGAAAAATGGTGCAATGGTGAGTGTCTCAGTTACTCTTCTCTCATCGCTAGGACAAATACCCGACACTCGAAGCGAAGGCAGGAAAGGTTTATTTAGCTCACAGTCACTGGAGGTTCCAGTCCATACTCAGCTGGCTCCAAGGCAGAGTGGCACAGGGCAGGTAGCAATTTATCATGGTGGCAGCAAAGAGCAGAGAGCAAAATGAAAGAGTAAGAGCAACAAAATGGCAGCAAAGAGGAAGTCTGTCTCTCTGTCTCTCTTAAATTGCATTCAGGCTCTCTGCTCCAGGCTGGGGGAAGTACACACACCCATAATCCCAGCAGTACTAAAGCCCATAATCCCAGCCTTAGATCACTCATAATCTCAGTGGAACATGAGTTAATCACAAAGTCTAGAAGTCCCTGTCCCATGACTGCACGAGGCTTTGTGGGGACAGCTAAACACAAACCATGACAGTGAGTATTGGAGGGATTTCTGGGCATTTTATCTATATACAGATTTTGCCTTCTTCAAATCATCCAGGACATGCAAAACTTCTAAAAAGTTATCACAGGAGTCAAATGCATGCAGAGTAACTTCCACCCTTGCATCCACAAAATGTCCTCTGAACTTTTGATTTCTTCCTGGTCCCTTGAAGCCCAGAGCAGCTGCACCAGGGGAGGAAACAGAAAAGTGAGCGTGAGCTCTCCGCTGAGGAGCAAGGGCCTCGGTTGCAGCGGCACCCTGCGTGAACTGCCCTGACCATGGAAATAAACTCACTTGTGCATGCTGTAGACTCAAAAGAACCAGAAGAAAGCATTCTGAATATCCCCAACACAAAGAAACAACCAATGTTTCAGATCATCGATTTGCTAATTACCCTGCTTCAATCATTAGACATTGTAGATACGTATGAAAATAACACACAGTACCCCCATAAACGTGTATAATTAGTCTGCATCAATTAAAAGTAATTTCAAAAACATAAAGTTTAAAAATAAAGTTTATCGGTAGTAAAAACATTAAACCAATATATAAACATAGCATTCATTTGACAGCACTGAATTTTTTAAAAAATGACAATGCACTAAATCTAGCCACTTAGGCAGCCAGATAGCTCAGCAGACTAAAGTGCCTGCTCAGACAGAGTGCAGCGGCCAGGTTCCATCCCCTGCGAGACATGCCGGCCCTGCCCCCAGGGCGCACTGAGACATCGATTAAGACTGGGCGTGGTGGTGCACACCTGTAATCCCAGTGCTTGGGAGGCTGAATACAGGAGAATCACTGAGTCCTGTCTACATAGTGAGCACTTGTAGACCCTGTAGACCCTATCCAAAAAAAAAAAAAATCTAGCCACTTCATTTCTGGAAAATGAACTCTAAAGAACTGATGAAAAATGCTGAAGTGAATCAATGAAAACTGTATTTGGGAGGACAAAGGAGAACCTGAGGAACGAACAGTCAAACGCATCATGCTATGGACAGGACATCCTGCTCCATTGCCCAATGGCCAAACATCTTGCAAAAATTTAAAATTAATGTGCAAGTTGCTTTAGATAAAAAAGATCCACTAAAAACCTAAGAGACATGCATCTATACAAACAAGCTGCAAAGAATGCAAATGCAAAGAAACATCTTTACGTGGTAAAAAGCTGGAAATGTAGGGAGTTAACATTGTTAACAACATTATTCTGGCAGTTCTTCCTATTTCTTTCTTCCTTTATTAATTAATTAATTAATTAATTAGTATAGCATCTTACTATCCAACTCAGACTCATAGTGATCCTCCTGTCTCAGCCTCCCCAGCACTGGGATTATAGGCATGCGCCACCACGCTGGTCTCAGTAGCCAGCACAGTGTGCCTAGGGTTCCAGGGCCAGCACAGCATGCAGTACTGGGGATCGGACCCAGGTCCTTGCATTTGCCCAGCGGGCACTTAGACAACTGAGCTATCTGCCTTCCCCACTTTTTCCTATTTCTAACTTTCCATGATTTTTATCTAGTGACTATGCATTATTTTCATAATACAATGTTTAGAAATCTATATTTCTTCAAAAGTAGGCAAAAAAAAAATCTAGAACAATTGATTCATACAAAAGTATCAATTATTACAAGCAGGCACAGGGGCCAGGGGTTCAATCCCTGTGCCTGCTGCACCAGCCCCGCCCCCAGGGCATGCTGAGACGGCAATTGAGAGTGGGCGTGGTGGCACGTGACTGTAATCCCAGCTTTTGGGAGGCTATAAACAGGCAGATCACTATGAGTCCAATCTAGTAGTGAGACCCTAAACACCCTGTAGACCCTTCCTAAAATACAAGGAAAGTAGTAATTATTCATATTTATCCATTGATTTACTATTTGAATGCTAAAAATAGGGTTAAATATATTTTGATCAACATATTTTATCTCACGGATATGTCAAACAGAATTACTTGAATAAATACACAGAAAGAAATGAGTTGTATCAATTTGTTTTCTAACCCCCAGGTTACCTCATATTTTATATATACAAAAAAGTGTTTAGAATGCACAATTGTATGAGATTAATATTTTTTAAACTTTAACTAAGTATTTCCAAATAAGGTCAGAGGTCTTAGAAGAAGTAGGATTTAAAAAGTGTGAAATATTCAAACTCATATAGAATATGTAAAGATCACTTAAAATAATAATAATAAAAAAAATCTCAGGAAAGCTGGAAGCCAACCTGCAGTAAATGCCATTTGCCCATCTGACAAGCAGATACAGAGGTGCCTCAGTTCATGAACTTAAATTCTTTCCACAGTTCCAGTCACAGCATAGTACACTGCAGCTTGGTTGCTGTCAGAGTCATGGATCAAGTTCTGGGACCAGAATCAAGGAAAGAAGTAAGTTTGTACACCGAGGCACTACTGTACACGGTGCTCCAGGTCCACCATCTGTCCATGTGGTCCAAGTTCAAGCTGCGCTGGCAGGCAGATGCCCTGAACCCAGAGACCCCTGGGGCCATTTCCGTATCAAGCCCAGCTTTGGCACCTGAGCTGTGTCTTGTAACCAAGCGTGGAGCCCGAAATCTGAACGTCTTCTCTCTAACGCAGGTGGTCCAGGACTCTGCCTAGGGCTCTGGCTTTCCTTTGCCAGATGAGCAAGGGGCAGATATTCAGTTCAATCCAATTATCTGTTAATGAGTGAAAGAGCGCTTCTGTCTCCTGCGCCCCCAGTGCAGCTGCCAAGAGATTTCTTTTCCACCTGGCTGTCCCGCTGCACATCCCAGTCCTGTAGCCACCCAGGTCTTGTCCCTGGTGTATACAAGGCCGTGTTCACCAGAAAGACCCTTTCTCTTGCAATCTTCTGCCTTGTTCAGATGGTACAAAGGTGCAACTGGACTCATCCAAAGGAACTGCTATTTTGCTAGCCAGCAAAGAGAGGATCATAGGGTGGAATTATGGGACCAGAGAATCTGTTCTTTGCCCGTAAACCCTAGTGCATGACCAATTAGGAAAAGCTACCGAGGCCACAGCTGGGACAGAAGTACAGAGTTCCTAGACTTTTTCTAAACATCAGCACAGTCGGGCATCAGCACATTTTACATGCGCAATCTATTTTCAGAATCTCAAACCTCTATCAAATTCTTTCTTCCTTATCATGAAACTCTGGAAATTCTCTTAAATTCTCTCAGTCTCAGTTTCCTAAAGTCATGATGCTTTTTTTTTTTTTTCTAAATGCATTTGGTTGCTACAGGGTCTCACCTTGCAACTTGGACTCATAGTGATCCTCCTGTTTTCAGCCTCCCCAGCACTGGGATTACAGGCGTGCACCACTATGCCTGGACTCTGTGGCCAGCTCAGCCTGCCCTCGGAGTGGGGCTGGCGGGGCATGTGGTGCTAGGGATCCAACCAAGGTCCCTGAGCTGCCTAAGCTGGCCTAAGCAGGCAGTTTAGTCTGCTGAGCTATCTCACCCACCCCTATGATGCTTATTAAAATGACCACACTTAATAAACGTAAAACTACAATCAAATATTAACTTGATCATTATTATCATGCTAGACTATTTGGGGTCATTATTTCTGCAACCTATTTTCAAATGATGTCAAAGATTAGATACAAATGGAGATAAAGCAGTCTCGGCAAAATGTAGCAGTTGGTGAATGTGAATCAAAAGTGCAAGCTATTTATGGTCCTATTATTATCAACATTTCTATAGACTTGATTTCTTGCAAACTTTTTTTTAAGTTAAGGAAAAAGATTTTTTAAAATACAATGCTACAGCTGTGTCCCTCCTCCCTAAAGAACTTGTGAACGCCAGCTAGAGACTGGAGTGCTTTGCACACCAGAGACGCCTGCCTGGGCATGGGAGTCGCAGAGAGAGCTCCTGGGGCAGCACAAGGCATCCTTGTGTCACCTGCCAAGTCTCACCTTTGGTTGCCAGGACTCCAGCCAATCGGTGCTGCGTCCCCTCCACATTACTTATGCAGAGTCAGCCTCCTGGCTCCTTCCTGCGCCCGCCCAGCCCCAGCTGCTGACAAGGGGTGGCGAAGTCTAAGGCTCTAGCAACCTGAGTCAGAACAGACTCTGCCTTGCCTGCCGGCTTCCCAGTTTCCCCGCCGCCCCTGCGGGCTACGGGCAGGCATCTCGCTCCCATGAAGCCCTCCAAGGCATCCCAGCGCTGTAGAGGCATCCGGAGAAACGCCAGCCAGCGCTACCTCTACCAGGAATCCCTGCTGCTCAGGTAAGCAGAATCCCTCCCTTAGTGGGACAGAGGAGGCAGCCGCGGGAAGGTGGGCTACCAAGCCGCGGACAGTGTCCTCACACTGCTCAGCTCCTCTTCAGAAGCCTGTGGCTTCAGGGTCCTGTACACCTGCGGCGTCAACCTCAGCAGTGCCGGTGGAAGGGGTGGCTACCGCTCTCCCTCTGGGCGGGAGGACGGGACTCCTGAGCCCTGCCCCCCAGCCGGACAATTCCGGCCAACTCCTCCTAGAGATTTCGCTCTAGCTCTCTGCTTACGAGACTCAGATCACCATCTCTCACGACACATGCACTTGCGGGGAGAAAAGGCTCGAGCAGGTGGGAGCGAGTGAGAAAGCTATTTGAGTTTGTTACGTGATTCTAATGAACATTTCCTTAAGGAATAAAAACTCCGTTTTCCTTTGGAGAACCTGGAAAAAGTTCTCGGGGTCAGCAAAAGCAACCCCGATTAGAGAGTAACACAGGAAATATTTTTCTTTTCTAATAACCACAGATGAATACTCATCTGTCCTGAAAAAGTTGCATTAGGATTAGAATATTAAGTATTACTGGAAATAAATGTTGCCACCTGCAGAAATGTCATTCTTCCAGAAAGTAGGTAGCTCCCCGAACGCTTTGCCCCTAAGAACCTGCCCAGCTACTTTCTTGTTCACATCAACAGCCTCCTTGCTCTGCCCTCCTCATCTCGGGTTTAAAACAAACCTAAGAGGACAGGCAGAAAGGCGTCTCGGGGTGACAGAAGTTTGATTTTCATTGACTTTACCTTCCAAGTTGGGGAGCAAGAAGGAGTTTTGCTTCTCAAATTATACAAATATTTCAATAAGCCCGTGAAGGAAACTGTTTACCTGCCAAGATCGCTGCAGTTCAAGAGTAAAATCCCCCAGAAGTGACCCCTTCCTTGTCTGATTTGCTGTCGTCTAATAGCCTGCTCTGTCCTCAGAAGCCTTTCTTCTTCCCTGATCATCAGAATAGTAGACTCCACTGAATGCATCCCAGTGGTCTGCCGGTGCTGCGCGGTCTCCACCCCCAGGTGCCCTACACACAGACACCCGCACACACTTCACAAAGATGACCCTGTCAAACTTTCCCCAGGAAAGATGATCACTTCCGGAAGCAATTCCGCTAATCAGATTTCCTCCTTAATGCCCTGATCCATTTAGTAACTTGGATGACAGCTTTAATGCTGATGAAACAGGGGACAGCAGTGACCCAGAACAAATCTTCCAGAACATACAGTTCCAGAAGGATCTCATGGCAAATATTCGCTGCAGACCCTGGACCATGGGACAGAAGCTGAGGGCACTGAGGTGAGGCCTCTGTCTCAGGGACTGATTGAGGTAAAGAAGCTTCACGGCACAGGGCTATGCCCTGCCCCAGCAAGAGATCAAAGATCTGGTCCTTGCCTGGAGATGTCACTAAGGTGGTAGAGGGTGTTCGTGTGTGTGTGTGTGTGTGTGTGTGTGTGTGTGTGTGTGTGTGTGTGTGTTTCAGTGTATGGTATCAGTGTGCAGGTTGAATGTGTGCATTAGCAAAGTTTTCTAGTTTTCCACCTCCTTTCCAAACACTAGATTTTAATATTTTCTGTAAACTCACAAGAGACAAGAGGCCAAGGTTGAGGGGAAAGAGGTATTTTAGCTTCCTTGTTATTGCCTCCTTGGGAGAGAGAATCTCTAAAGAAGTCCCGGTTATTGTGATACTCAGAGTCCTACGAGAGCCCGGCTATATAATAATTAAGGCTACAGGGTTTGAAAGAGGTTGCCTGAATTTGAATCTCATCTCTACCAATCTCTAGCCATTTGGTAATTTTCCTTTCAGTGCTAGGGAAGGATCGACCTCGGGGGCTGTGCACTGAACTACATCCCTGGCCCTTTTTATTTTTCTTTACAACAGCGCCTCACCACATTGCACAAGCTAGGCAGCTCACAGTCCTTCCTGTCTCAGCCTCCGGAGTGCTGTGAAGACAAGAATGAGCCACCAACCCTGACTCATTTTCCGTCTAAATACTGACAACTTTCTCTTCCAAGCTGCCGAGGTGGTGAGGAGTCGTCCTTCTCTCTCAGGGCAGCGTGTGCAACAGTGACAGTTGCTGGACTCCTGGGCACTGTTAGAAACTGAAAACCCTGTTCTGCCCTTTGACCTCCTGAGCCATACTGTGGGACAGGGTCAGCGCTTCTTTCCGTACGGAAGGGCTGGGGGTCTAATCGGCAGCCTTGTGTATGATAATCACATGTTCAGCCAGGGGCTTCGCCTCAGCTTGCCAGCATCAGAATTTATTTTTAGAGAGAATACAAAATAATATTAAAACAGAAAAAATTACAAATGACATAGAATTTCACTAAACAAAATACTTTTTGTATTTTTTCTATTTTTTCTCTTCTATCTTTCCTTAATTTTTTACAACTTTTTTTCTTTCTTTTTCCAATTTTGCATGTATATAGCTGGTAGTATGAGCAACTAATTGAAAGACAACACTATACAATGCAGCAAGTACTGCCAATTTCGTATTGTTTTGCCAGCATTTTAAACATGCATTCGAGCTAATTCTTCTGAGATCTAGAGTTGGAGGCCGTGCATTGGGTGTAGTCGATGAGGACATGAAACAGGCTGAGCCCTGTGCGAGCTCAGTGCTGTCCCTTGCGTGTCTTGGTCATTTGGTCAGGGAGACTGACAGTCTTGATGTAAGTGGCAGCCAACAGTGGCCCTGACTGGCCCGCTGGTGCACTTTGGGCACCTGTGTGGGCAGGACCAAGGTCTTGTGCTGCTCTTTTGCACCATTTTCTACACCCCAGCCACATACTCTTTTCTGTCCAGACCACTGCCTCCTCAGCATGGGCTTCTCCCCGCCCCGTTATTCCTCTCGCACATGTCCAAGCAGCCACACTCCTCCAGGTGCCACCTGCCCCTCCAATGGCTGCAACACTGAGCTCCACAGACAGCAGTGTTTGTACCCTCAGAAGGCTCCCTTATCTGCCTTCCACGTCTACCATGTCTGATCTGTGAGGGTAGACTAAAAGAATAAAAGAGAAAAAGAGAAACATTGGCAGGCACGGGCTTTATTGAGATGAAGCCCTGAGAGGGGCCGCAGGCTCAGAAGTGCCAGAGCAGCAGCTGTCCTACAGTGGGAGGGTTTGCGTGGGGGATCCAGGAGACGCAGAGGATGAGGAAGCTGAAAACTGACCATTCTGGGCTCGGGGCGTCTATCTTAGTCTGAGGTTGCTGGTCTGTCTCCTGTTTGCATGAAGTTCATTATTTGTCTGGAGCTGAAGGCTGTCTGGTCTGGCATGGGCTGTTCTATAAGCATCATTAGGGTAGGCAGTTAATTAGGAGAGCTGACATGGTTACAAAGCCAGGAGAGGTGGGGAAGGGTTAGAACACACACGAAGATGTCCTTTGGATTTTCTGTCCACTATGTCCACATTTTAGGTGGGATGGGGGACCCTCAGAAGTGTGAAGAGACCGGCCCAAGCAGCACAAGGGTTCTGAGTGCTAAACTAAAGCCATTACCATCTGCTTTCTGACCCCATGTCCAGTATCTCTTGTACTGAAACACAGGAACTCCACCCAAGGGATCGTTGCAGCACTCAATCTACAAGATGCAAATATACAAGATATTAAAAGAGCAGTTGTTCTGTTAGAGCCTTGAAAAATCATTCAGAAATGATGATGACATTATTCAACGCTGTCGGAATAATTTTTCACCTTGATGCCAGAGCACAGCAAATGATTGCTTTTCAGTCCAGGCACCTTGGAAAGAAAAGACCAGCCAAGCCTCCCGCCATGGCGCTGGGCTGTGCCGCTTGGCCAGAGCTCCAGCCGGGTGACGGCGGCCGTGTGTGCGGCTGGCCATGGCGCCGCTCTCCAGGGGCAGCCTGCCCTCCAAGCACGTCGATCCATCAGCCCATGAGACACACACCTCTCCTCTGTCACCTTGAAAGTTGCCAGAGCAGCACAGCCCTGATTGGACACACTGAGGTTCATCATGGGTTCACTGGGGAGGCACAGGGGACACAGAGCCTTTACAGACACAGGTCGGAGCAGCTCTCTTGCTTCCCCTGCAGGGAGGGGAATGGTCACATAGACTGCCCCGCTGCTGTGACTGCACCCGGGTGAGGCCCACCCACCCTAATTCCCCGATGCCACAGTGCTGTCCAGGCCCACGCTGTCCTGCTCATGTTATCTTTAGATCATTTTTATCCTACCCAGCGAGGAGCTCCTCCAGAGCAGTGACTCCATGTCACGCCTTTCTCTGTTCTACAGTGTCCAACTCAAAACAGGCGTGCAGAAACATCTGCAGGAAAGAATCACAGATGTGCAAAATGTGTCCTTATTTGACTTTGCTAGGCTTTTTCAGATGTCATAGAAGGCAGGGAAGTTTAAGATCGCCTTCCTGCGGTGATCATGTAAGGTAGGATGTCAGCCTTACCTCCGTCTCTTGTTTGACCATAACATACTGCACTAAGGGTTTTTGCAGAGAGTGGATAGACAGCTCCAAACCCCAGTGTTCTGTTAGGTTGTGCAGTGAAAAAAGAGCTGACTTGTCCTTCGAGTGTGAAGGAGGAACTCATTACCAGAGCATGTGACAGGGAGTCTGCTTGGGGTACGCACACAGGGACACCATAAAGGGAGAATTTGCTGAAATAGCCAATCGGCCCACACAGAAGAGCTGAGTTCTTTCACTGAAGCTAAAGCAGCAAAGCCTCAGGAGGACCCCTGCACTGGCTGGGGCACAGTGAGGTTACCCGAAGGAGATGCCCTTCTCCAAGGGTCGCTGGCTGCAGTCTGTCCCATGGCGCTGCCCCTCAGCCCAACCCTGTTGCTCATGGAGTTGTGGATTTAACCGTCATTCCCAATGGGTCCTGTCCATTTCTCAGGGTTGAACATTTAGATAACGATACCAGGTTAACTCCACAAAATGGTGTGTGGGTGGGTGGCGTGGTTGAGCCAGGCTGTGCCTGGCTCTGTGAACACAACCCTGCTCCTCCCGTTAACCCAACACCACCGATTCCTTGAAGCAGGTTCTCTGAAGCTAGTCTGATTTCCACTTCTGAGGAACCAACAGAAAAAAGAGAGTTGTTAAGTGGAGAGGCTGAGACAAGATTTCCAAAGCTAGTGATTCCTGGCCAACCTCAAGAAGTTTAAGAAATTCAGTTGTAGTTACTACCGCTATGCATTTACCACTTTGGATAAGGTCATCTGTGTGTGTGTTAAATAATTTTGTGTGTGTGGAACTGGGATCAAACCCAGAGGTACTCTACCACTAAGCTACATCCCCAGCACTTTTTATTTTTTATTTTGAGGCAGAGTCTCTTTGCCCAGGCTCCAACTTATGACCCTCCTGCCTCAGCCTCCCCAAGTGCTGGGATCACAGGGGCACTCATCTAAAGAAAAAAATTTCTAACAAAGTCAGGAAATGAAACCTAGTGATATTCTCTCTCCTACACAATCTTGTCTAACTTAGTTGAATGACTGACTCCTCTTGCACTTCCACATAGTCTGTAAAAAAAAAAAAAAAAAAAATTTCAAGTGTGATAAATTGTGCTCCCAGCTCCATGTTTTTCTTTCCTCAGACGAGCTAAGGAGATTGTGCTGAAATTTGAAGGGAGGCTGACCAGGACTCGAGGCTACCAAGCAGCAGGTGCAGAGGTAAAGAACCATTTGGGGTGCTGCCCCCCCTTCCTGGGACTGCACTTGCCTGGGCCCCTGGGGTGTGAGCTCAGCCATCAGCAGCTCAGAGCAGGGGGCTGGGCTCCAAAGCTTCAGGGTCCAAAACTTGGATTTCAGTCCTAGCTGCCACACTTCACCAGTCATGTGGCCCTGGCTAAGCCTGTGCCTCAGGAGAGGGCTGTCCACAAATGTACGACTTCCTGCGCTGTAACCCTGTGGAGCTTGATGCCTGTATGTATCCCTCACGGTGGAAGGGCTGTGGATACCCTCCAGCTTAGCTTCTGTAACACAGCGCTGAGGTTTTGACAGTGTTTCTCCCCAAGTAGTCACTGAAAGCTAACCTGTAACACACTTTAAAATGATCTGGGGCTGGGGAGATAGCTCAGTAGAATAAGCATCTGCCTGGCAAGCGCAAGGTCCTGAGTTCAATCCCGGGTACTGAAAAAAAAATAGTTTTGCCTGAAATAATCTATCTATAAGGACATTTCACAGGACTTTTTTTTAATGTTGTCTTATTTTCCATAATTTTATTGAGAAACAAATAGCAATGAGACAGTTTCAAATCAAATTGGTAGGACAGTTCCAATAATAAACACATTGCATACATTCTTCCTAGTGGTTAATTGCTGTACAAGATGTGGACATTATATCCTATTTATAAACACTATTACACCAAATCCCTCTATATATTAAGAGAATGTAATTATGTATCTATCCTAACCATTTTGAATACACAGATACAAAATGGACATTCATCTGTATTCCCTTTTTTATTTAGTTCCATTATTTGAATATTATAGGTGTGTTAACTCAGAAAAATATTCTAAAAAAGTCCAGTAATCCCTAATAGTACTGAGTCTTCTGCTTGACTGGCAGTGTCAGAATTGTTGAACTGGGTCCCCTACAGCTCAACATAACAACATGGCTTTACTTCTTATACTTCGTTTTTATACTTTTCTCCTGGATGGCTAAGACCAAGATAAAGCAAGACCTATGCAACAAAAGTTATAGCTTTTGGATCTGATAAGGTCAGTGAAATCCCCTCAGGATTTATCCTGAGATCCTGTACCTCAGATTGTAGAACCCTTGTCAGTGTCAGCCATGTGGATGAGTCCCAGCCACTGCTTGGCCAGTGTGCTCTCGTGAAAGCCTGAGAGAATGTTTTATCTCCATGTGACTCTCCTTAGGCACACTCTACATCATCGATCACTTTCCTCTTTGGCTCCATAATCTCCTTGATCAGAAAATTTGGGACACCACTGAGTTACATGACATGACAATACAAGTTCTCATATATACTGAGTCTTAATTGACCTTGGAAGGCTAGGGCACAGGACTTTTAAAAAGAAGGGGATGGTTCTTTCTTCTGTTCCCCCTCCTATCCCAATGTCATCTTTTTAAAAAACCTCATTTGACAGTTACTGCATAAGTGTGCAATTTTCACCTTATAGTAATTACAGAAATTCTTGTGTTTCTTTTTTCACTTAACACCACAGAGATTTTTCCATGTTGCTATATATCTTTTATATTCACCATTTTCAATAGCTGCTTAATATTAATCTGATAAGTGTATATTAATTTAATGGGATAGTTGCCTGCTACTGGGTATTTTCATTGATTCTAAATTTCCATTATTATTAATAATCCTGTAAAAAGTATATTTGCCAAATATAGCTTTTCCTCTTTTTAAAATTATTTTCTTAGGTTAAATTAGAACTATAATTATAATAGAGAGAGACTATGATCTGTTTTTTGGCTCTTGATAAATATTTTTAAAATTACTCTTCAAGAGCCTTGATAATTTATATTATCATTCCCAAGAAATAATTTATTAGCCTCCTAATAGCTCTATAATCACTGAATATTATATATCTCAAAAGTTTAACAGAAAAATGATTCATCTATAAGCTTCCTTGAAACAAAATTAAAATGTCATAAATTTTACATGTCTGAAAAATTGTATCAAAAACTTGCCAATGTTCTGCCCTGTCATTCTTTCTTCTTACTCTTCATAGAATCTTCCTTACTTCCTGCCAAACTCGTCTGTGGCTCCTTATGCTGGCCCCACTCTGGTGGAGTTTATGAAATACGCATATAAAACAAAATCAGCATTTGTAATCACACATGCTGCCAACGCTTTTCTTGTTTTTCTATGTGAAATGCTATGGGAAGACTTTCCCAAGGTAACACGAGCCCCTTGACTTGTGTACAGCCTGTGACATGTCCCACCATGTGAAAAGGTCCACTGGAAGCTCAGCGTGGGTAGAGCAGCAACTTCACAATGCTCAGGTTCCCAGGAAAGTGTTCTAAGCTTCCTCCCTACCTAGAGATGGCCCAAAACTCTTCAGCAGTGCCTCACAGGCAGGGCACTCTATTTTTTTCAGTACCATGGACCATGCAGGAAACACCTCAACCCAGGAAGGTTCAGCCCAGGGCCAGGTCTTTCTCTGGACCCTGGGACAGACCTAGTGACAACTGCTCTTCTGCCTATGGAAATGCCATCAAAGTCAAAGCAAAGCCCTCGCTCACCACTTTAGCCAATTTATTATTGCCTATAGCTCAACCTATATTGCCTATAGCTCAGTGAGTCTTGTCTCTGTTTATAGCCCTTGGATTGTTTTAGTTTTAAAAATCTTTGTTTCCCAAATAGTAAAGTTCAGTGACTATTCCTCCATTCTTGCATGGCTTCTGTGGCTGAGGCCTTAGAGCACCACCCAGGCACAGCTCCTTTCCCCTCTCTCGGGAATCGCTCCAGACACAGGGCAACTTCCGAAGCCCGAAGCCCATTTTCCATCTGGAGTTTCTGTTCGTGTGAAGTCTCCTCGATTCCTGCACCTTGACTTCTGGGTGTAGATGGTCCACCTTTGGCACCTGCACGCTTCTGTGTTTTGTTGTAAGGGGAATAGGAGACTTTGGGTCACCGAGGCACAAGAGCCACCCCAGGCCCTGGAACGGAAGGCAGGGACAGCCAGCCTTTCTACAGATGTTTCCCTGCTCTAGGTAAATGGCTTTGAAAGAACCCTTTGGGTTTAACATCCCATGTCTTCCATTTCCCATGGGATGCTAACAGCCCTGTGGCACAATTTGGCAGGAGCCCTTCTTCCATGCAGGACTGGAATTGCTCTCCACATGTTCTCTATGCCCCACTGCCCTTCTCATGGGTTGCCCCAAGTCCACGCACTTTTACCCTGGCACCAGGGCAGCCTTGGGTACATCCCTTGCTCATCCCAGGCCTTCCTGATACATGACAATGGTGGCTTTAACTACTCTTGAATTTTAATCCATTTCCTTTCTATGCTTCAGCCCATTGGGCCATTGCTGGCTGCAAGGTTTCCTCTGTCCTCCTGCCTGCTCCTCTAAGCAGTGCCCAGCTCCTGCCAGTGCACAGGTGGACACTGGCTTGCCTCACTACCTCCTTCCATTGACTATTTTTAGAGTGCTGGTTCCTTTGCATTTGAGTCTCAGGGACAAGTGTGGCCTTCCAGCTAGGTATTTCACGTGTAAGAGCTTGCTCCGCAGCCCAGAGGACTGCTCCAAGGTGGCACAGACTTGTTGCCAGCTGCCTTCCCTTGGCTGAAGGCAAGCCCTGCCCCAGCCCAAACACCACGAGTCCTGTCTACTGTCTGCTCTTACAGCGGCTGCAACCTGGGTCCCCACTCAAGCTGCCAGGACAGTCACATGTGTTATAAGAGTACATTTATTCCAGGTGAACTTACAGCACTTTCCAAAGATGAAAGAATGAACTGACATTTTCAAGAGAAGTTACCAAAGCTCAGTAAGTTCCCTACCAAAATAACTCACCAAGATTACTAAAACTCAATACCTAGTACAAAAATAATTTACCAAACTGAATTACCGAAACTCAGTAACATGAGCTCACAGTCAGGACCTATTCCTTGCAAGTTTGTTTTTGCTTTGCTTTGTTTTTTGATCTGCTTTTAAAGTCATTAATTACTGCATAAAGTTCTAAGGCTGTTGCTATGGAGATGTGGTGCCAATCACGAGAGACGAATGACATTTTCCCCCACACCTTACTGAGTAATAGTAACCAAAAATCATGCTTTTCTATCAGGTTTGCCTCTAAGAAACTCCTTCAGACAAAGCCAATGGAGACTCATTATTGAAGTAAGCCTTGGGGCTCCTTCCGTCCAGGGCTCTGGAAACAGCCTGGAGGCCGGGCTTCTCTAGCACCAGAGGCAGAGTGCAGACCGGGCCATTCCCACCAGCACAAGTGGCCTGCCAAAAGCAGAAGTCCCCCAAAAGCCACTAGCTGAACTCTACCTTTCCTTATGCAGACACAAAAGAGCATACCAAGCAAAGAAACTGACTGCTCCAGCGGCACGTCGTAAGACAGGGAGGGACCTGGGCTTAGAACTCTGGCCGCCCTCTCCATGTATTTTAGTTTTAGGACTTGGCGCAGGCCAGAGGCTCCCTGATCCCTCATCAGTAGAGGCTTGAGCGTGAATGGCTCTGGTCCTTGCTGGGCAGCCAGGATCAGAAAACCATGGTCTGGGTCTCTGCACTGCAGGAGATAAGCCAGGTGTACGACATAAAGGTAGTGCAAGGTGGGACAGGACAGACATTGTAACAGAGACCAGAAGCCAGTGCTAGGAAACGTGGTGAAAAATAGCAACTTACTACGAGCCACAGAGAATCTGTGCAGTGGTTTCATGACAGGGCCTGTATTTGAGTTGGCTCTCAACTCTTATGCAAAAAATATCACGCCAACTTCTGGTAAAATTCTGACTCTCATTTATTTGACAGCAGCCGTCTGGCCCAAGCAGACACGGCCACAATGATATTACCTCACGGGTCTGCTCTGGGGCTGAGGGTTGTCTTACAGCTCAGAGTGCACTTATCACATTTGCAGCCCTTTGTGCAATGAAATTATTTGCCTCCAACACAAACCAAGATAGTTTGTATATTAAAACACACAACCTGTCAATCTTGTCGGACAGCAGAGCCAGTGTCAGAGCACATTTTGTTTTATTGGGGGGGGGGGAAGAACTGTTAATTGCATTCCTTAAGCCCACAGGACAAATTTCCAGCCTCATTAACCCTAGAGGCTTCAGCCAGGAAAGAGGCCTGGAAGCTCGCTGGGCTTGCGGAGGTGGAGCTCATCCTCAGGCAGGAACTAGATTCTCAGTGCTCAGGCAGAGGCAGGTGTCATCGCCTGAGAGCTTGTTAGCAAGGATCCACTCCCCCAGCTACCTCAGGTTAAGAGCAAGGTCTAGGGTGTGCCTCTGGACGCCATTCCCCTATTTCTAGTCTCTGCTTCAGGATCAGTAGGGAGGATGTAAACCGAGACCCCACACAATACACACCTCACCCACACTCTGCGGCTCAGGCCCTGACACAGGTGTGTGGTCACCTGGACAGTACCCAAAGAAGCTGGGGACCACTTGGATCCTAGAGCCAATGACAGCCATGAATTCCACTGTCAGAGGTATCCAGGGTACCTCTGAAAGCCTCCTGACCCCCAACAGGCCCTAGTGCCACCAGCCATTCTTTCCTCCTGATGGACTGTCCCTAACTGGCCCTTTCTTCCTAGCTGTGGCGGAAGTTGGCTCGTCTGGCCTGTAATTCTGTGGTCATCTTCATCCCCTGGGAAATGAGGATAAAGAAAATTGAGAGTAAGTACTTTCATGTGGCAAAAGCAGAACTAGTGGCCACTTCACAGTCTGAGCTGGTCTGGGTTGTCCCAGTGCTCATACATACAGCCGGGTATGTCCAGCCTCACAGGAGATCCAGGGAGATGGGAGACTCCTGTCTGTCCCCACCAGGACAGGAGCTGGCCCCACCAGTCTTTCTGCATTCCCAGGGAGCAAAACCGGCTGCTCCACCTTGTTCATTCAGTCAGACACACAAATTCCAAAAGATGAAGTTAAAAACTGATAATATATAAGAAGGCAGTGTGGAAAGCTGCAAAATACAAATAAGGAGGCCCACACTTTCAGAGAAATGATTGTAAGCATTTGGAGAACATGAAAAATAAATCACATGCACAGTTACACAAAAGTAGACACACACATGCACACACAGTACAGAATATCTGGAACAAATTTAACAGAAATTCTGAGATGAAGAAAACTATAAAATTGGACCTCAGAATTTAAAAATCTTCTGAAGCACTGTGAGATTTGGAAGTGCTGACTTCTCAAAACCTATTCATAAGTTTGATGCAATTCTAATAAAAGTCTCTGAGTTGTTTTCAGAAGTTGCTAAAATGTTCATAAAAGATTAATGGAAGAAAACAGCCAGAAGAGTAATTATAAAACACATAAGGAAAATGCAAATGAAGTTGTATGACTGAGATGTTAAAAACACAATGTAAAAGGTTAAGTAATTAAACAACATTACGTAACTCAAGAATTACAAATAAGGATTAGCAAAAACTTGGGGTCAGGTAGCAATATTCGTGGACTTCAGCACATCATGATTATCAGAATCTGGCAAAATTAGCCCATCGATACTGCTGGAACGATTGAAGCAAACGTTTCAAAGAGTAGCTCTTTCATTTTAACATGTCATGAAGTGTTTAATTTTACAAGTGGAAACCATGAAAGAACTAAGGAAAATGTCAGTGATTTGATCCTCAAAGAGAAAATTATAGAAGTGTAATAAGAAATTATTGAAGAAAGTACTGCTACCAGACCTGCAGATTTTCCCTAATCCTGTGATTTGCAGTTGAGTTCTGCAATGCTGTTTGATTACTTAGCCTTTTACAATGTGTTTTCTTTTTGTTTTTTTGTTTTTGTTTTTTTGTATTGAGTACAGGGTCACACTACATAGATCCGACTCATAGTGATCCTCCTGTTTTCAGCCTCCCAAGTGGTGCATGCACCACGCCCAATCTCAATCGCTGTCTCAGCCTGCCCCCGGGGCAGGGCTGGCACGGCATGCCCGGGATCAAACCCCGGCCACTGTGCTCTGCCTAAGCAGGCGCTTTAGTCCACTGAGCTATCTGGCCAGCGCTCAACAATGTGTTTTTTACATTTTAGTCATAAATATTAACTTCGTTTGCATTTTTCCTTATGTGTTTTAAACATAGATAAGAAATTATATATACAAAAAATAAATCTGAAATTTGTACAACCACTAGGAAAACAATTTTAAGTATTTAAATGAAATTATGCACTTTCTTCCTCTAATTTAGAGCAAGTGTAGGTATATAGAAAGCTGGCGAACTCCCCCTACCCACCCTGTGGCCTTCACCCAATTTGCTAACATCCAACAAACTGGTTGTATCTTGAAATTAAGATAAAAGATCCTAAGATAAATCATTGGAATTTTCAAAATGATGTCTAATGAAAAAGAAACATATCAGATTCTCAAAAGATACTATTTTTTAACAATCATGAAATAAAAATAAATTCGACAGAGCATTTTAGATAAATAGTTCATTAAGGAAATGACTATCAAATGGTATTGTTGGTAAAGGAAGAATTTTTTTCTGTATACAGAAGTCCTAAATATTCATGGGCCTCTTGGTCCATCTAAATTACCCTTAGGGGGAACACACCCATCACTAATTTTATTCTTCCTTAAGCCCTGCTAATATAGGAATAATTATAGGGTTGCTTCTGGAATATTCTTGCACTATAAGAACTGAATGTCAACTGTTCTCATTATTTTATCTTTCTTTAGGTCATTTTGGGTCAGGTGTGGCCTCCTATTTCATATTCCTGAGATGGTTATTTGGGATTAATATTGTACTCACGATTATGACAGGTGCTTTCATTGTCATTCCAGAGGTAAGAACTATTCCTAGACAGAGAAAAGGCCTGTTCCTTCAAGACAGACGTTAGAGCAGCACGAACGCCCGCTCTCGCTGCCCTTGTGGGAAGGGTGATGCATGCGTGGGCACGCTTCTCTGCGCAGGGCGCCACAGTATTTCGGGCCTAGGAGCTGGCCAGTCTCTGTCACCTGCTCCAGTCTGCAGCGCTGCAAAGACAGCAGTAGACCATACACAGGCCAGGGCGTGTGGACTGCACCACAAAATTTATTTACAGAAACTGAGACATACATTTCACACAATTCTTTTTTTGTCCCCAAGCCTTCTTTTTCTTTTTCTTTTCTTTTTTTTTCCCTCCTTCTTCACCACTTATACATACCAAACCCCCCTTTGGATCTCAAGCTGTATGAATCTCAGGATTGAGCCTCTGTGCCAGTTTGCCAACCATAAGATAAAATAAAATCCCCTACCCAGATAAACTCCATCCTCACTGAGACAGCAGGGCCGTCATTTCCGGGGCCATCACCGAACCCAGGGACCCCGAGATCCCCTGGCAGGAGCCACAGAGGTTCAGAGAGCTCAGGCCCAGGGCAATCTCACGCCCGTGCAGAGTTCTCCGTCTATAGGAGCAAGCAGAAGCCCACCCCAAGACATCACAGAAGGCATTGCAGGGACGCTGCAGCTGCACAGTCCCTCAGAGGAGGGATCACTGATGCCCCCTTTCTCTCCAGCTAATCGCAGGCCAGCCCTTCGGAAGCACAGCCAGGAAGACCATCCCGCCAGAGCAGGCTGCGTCCGCCCACGACCTGGACACCGTCTGGTCCCTCGGGGTGAGGCTGGTGCATGTAGGAGGGGCGGGGACCTGCTGTCCTCTCTTGGAAGTGACCTGGTATGGTGTCCCCACAGGGCTACCTCCAGTACTCTGTCCTCTTCTACGGCTACTACGGCAGGGAGAGGAGGATCGGGCGAGCTGGTTACCGTCTGCCCCTGGCCTACTTCCTGGTGGGGATGGCTGTGTTTGCTTACAGCTTTGTCATTCTTTTAAAAAAGTACGACTGCTCAGGTTCTCAAGCCCTTGTGTTGTGTGTGATTGGATGCTATCTTGTCAGTGGCCCTGTAGGTTAAGGACACCTCTGCATGCATTTTACAGGCCAGACAGCCCTTGTCTACGTAAGCAGCTCATCCCCTCGCCCACTGCCAAGGGCCAGGTCCTGGGGTGGATGTGGAGAGACACGAGCACCACACACTTGCCAGTTTACCTAATCTTAAAACTGCAGTACCGGGCTAATGGAGTCACGCAATGTGACCTAGGGGACCAGAGCCAGGGCTCCGTGCTCTGTCTGTGTATGTTCCTGGCCTGACTCCAGGTCATGCTGGATCTTGGCTGTGTGTGCTGTCTTGCAGCAGGCACCTTAAGTTTGTCCCGGAGAGGTGGCACAATACACACGACAGCACTGTGAGTCCTACAGCCTTTCACAGTCCCTCATGTGGCCTTGATTGTAAAATGGGCAAGTTGGCTGGTTCAGCTCCTTCCCGGCAGGCCTCCTTGCTTCTGCTTAAGGAGCACAAGCAATGCAGGCGACCGAGACCCCACTTCCCAGGCATTAGCCAAGTGCAGGTAGAGGTGCTTGGGAGAAAAATACATAGAGTAAGCAAACCCATCAGCTCCTGTGGCCTGAGGGCCCCACCTGGAAGGCCCAAATGCTGTACTACATGCGACAGCTTAAAAGCAAAGCAGAGCAAACTTGGAAGAAGACATACGGAGCTCAAAGTACTAAGGTACTGTATTTAGGGGAAATGGTTCAAGGCACAGGGACAGCTTCTCCGGAGGAGCAGCCCAGACTCCTGCTTTCAAATACAGTATCCAAAGGATTATGGCATGCATATAGGGAAGACCCCTGAAAGAGCCCCCAGGGGTAGTTACCATGGGCAATGTGGCTCAGGGGACACTTCAGGGAAAGGGATGGACTCTTCCCCAGTCACAGAGGGGACCATGATGCCGCAGCTCACACCTGTGAGACTGCTAGCTGCACAGGCCCGCCCAGCATGTGACCACCTTGTTATCCTCTCCAACTCCCAGGCACTGCAATGTCCCCTCCTGGGGCCATCGTGGGGTGACATCCTCGAGTGGACCCTTGTCCCGGGGCTCACCCATCACCTCTGCAGTCCTGTCTTGCAGGATGGCGAAGAACTCCCGCACTAGCCTGGCCAGCGCTTCCAGTGAAAACTACACCTTCTGCTGGCGGGTGTTCTGCGCCTGGGACTACCTCATCGGGAACCCAGAGGCCGCGGAGAGCAAGACAGCGGCCGTGGTCAACAGCATCAGGGTGCGGAGGAGGGCTGGGGACAGGGAGGAGCACCACAGCTTTTCTTTGCTGTTTTGGTTCCATCCCTTTAGAATTTCAGTTTGTATATGTTTGTCAATTTACCTACTGGGTTACTGCCATGGTGTGTGTACCTAAGCTATAAATAATTACCAATGGAACACAGGTTTTTATTTTTTAACTTAGATGTCCATGTGATCAAAAGCAGTCATAACCATGGGCTACTCTAGGCCCCACAGGCCACTTGGAGCCCTAGTTTTTGGTTTTTGTTTTAATCTAGTACATCGAGGTACCACACTTTTCCCAATCTCTAGTTTAGTTTCCTCAAATGGTTATCAGATCATTGATATTGAATTCACTTATATCAGTGGAAGCTTACTGGACAAATTGATGCACAGTGGAAGGTGGGATTGAACTCGGGACCTTGCGCTTGCCAGGCAAACACTTATTCCACTGAGCTGTCTCCCCAGCCCGATGCTGAGCTTCAAATGCTGCCGGTGTATTTCTTTACAGGAGGCTATCTTGGAAGAACAGGAAAAGAAGAAAAGAAAAAACCTGTGAGTGTTTTTTCCACATGCTGGATTTATTGATAAGTTGTGTTTTAATTTGATACTGCCATTACCCAGACAATCTGGGCCATATTTTCATAATTGTTGAGCCGCTCTTCTTTCTTTCCAATCTCCATTGCTGTACTAGCGCAGCTTGTGGGAGTCCATGGCTTTTCCGTAGTGGCATTTCGGAGTGATTCCTCTCTCCATGAGTCCTGCGGCAAGGCTCGGAACCCTGAAGCTTACCATTTCCTGTTCATTTACTTAGATAATAAGACAGGTATTCCTGGTGCCAACTTCTATTTGCTAAATGAAGCAGACATATGAATGCTGCTGGAACTAATTTTATTTAGAAAAAATATCTCCAAAGTTATAAGACATAAATAGCATCCAGTTCATGCTAACAGCCTTCCGGGGGGCTTACCTGGGTGTGAGGTCCCTCAGGAGACCTGAGAGCTGGGCCAGGAGGCAGAGGCCCTCCCACCAGAGGACAGATTGAGGGCAGGTGTCCTGGCACTGGGTGAGGTCCTGTCGTCATTGGGAGAGCACATTTTCTCCTCTCAGATCTTTCCTGGGTCTTCACACTCATGGTCAGTGTCCATTGTGCAGAAAGAGCATGCAGAGGACAGTTGAGGTAAAAAGACAATTGAGGAAATACTTCAGCCACAGGAACAGGAAATCAGAAAGCAGGGATCCCTGCCCTCCTTTGTCATGGACTCCCATGACACGGGACCCGCCTGGACCTGCACCCCACCTCCTATGGGATGAAAAGATGAGACTTTGGGCCAGGGTGGGTCATCGCCCACCTTGGAATCACCTGAAGTCCCCAAATATTCAGACCCTTTCATCTTCTGGAAGAAATAGGTGCACATTCCAGGAGTGCCACATACGGGAACAGGAGCCAGAAAAGGCAGAGAATGGGTGTAGTGAGCATTTGGCCCGCAGCGTCACATGGGCCCAGCATGCATTTTCTGGTGCAGCCACCGGAGGATCCACATTTCCCCCAGATGGGACCTAGAAATGAAGACAGAGTGGTCTACAGGAGAAGGGACTGGAGAACACCTCCTGGCACTAAAGATTTCTCTCAGCATTTTCTATCTCCAGGGCTCTGTGATTTTTTTTTTTTTTTTTTTTTTTTTTTTTCCAATTTTTTTTTTTTTTTTTTTTTTTTTTTTGGATCTACAGGGTCTACAGGGTCTCACTACATAGATCAGACTTGTAGTGATCCTCCTGTTTACAGCCTCCCAAGTGCTGAGATTCCAGGTGCGCACCACCACACCCCGTCTCAATTGCCATCTAGTGCACCCCTGGGGGCAGAGCTGGCATTGCACGCCAGGGATTGAACCCCAGCTGCTGCATCTGACTAAGCAGGAGCTATAATCCGCTGAGCTATTTGGCTGGTCTTCTTTTGTACAGGGTCTTGCAATACAGTTTAGACTCATAGTGATCCTCCTGTCTCAGCCTCTGTAGCAGTGAGATTAAAGGGGTGCGCCACCATACCCTGTTTCGGTGGCCAGCACAGCACAGCCAGGGCCAGTACAGTATGTGGTACCAGGGATTGAACCTGGGTCTTTGTGCTTGCCAGGCAGGTGCTTAGACCACTGAGCTATCACCCCAGCTCAAGGGTTCTGTGATTTTTGATTTGCAGCACCTTCCATGAGAGCCTGGGACTATAGCTATAATGTGTACTCTAACGCCATGGCTCTGTTTTCACCTGACGCTTGCCATATCACTTGGATGATGCTCCTTTATTGTGCAAATGAAGCGCTAAGACATAGATGGAGGGAGGCATGGTGACTGACCAGGAGGTTAGGTCCCCAGGAGGAGGACTTCATGCAGCAGACAGGACATGCTCCACCTCCCCACTTTCCTGCCAAGTGGGGCTAGGTAGGCTCCACTGGGGGCGGCTCCTCTCCTGTACCTTGTGCTGGCTGCCCTGGCCACTTTGAAGTAAACCCACTGGTCTCAGTGACACTCATCCACTTGTGGCCAGCAGGCAGGGAGCACGGGGAAGGGGATGAACACCAGGCCCTACAGTAGCATCTTGCCACAGCCCCCTCCCCTACACCCTGCACTGACAGCTCAGCTTCCTGCTTCAGGACCCAGACCATACTCCTGCTTCCTGAGGTCACTTCCCTGCTCCACTGTTAGCAGTCAGGCCCATGTCTAGGCCTCTGCCATCAGAGGAGCCGGGCTCAGGCAGGCCAATGGTAGCAGACGGTGTCTTCACATCAGGTGCCCGAGTTGGTCGGGTATCCCCCTATGCTGGACCAAGCAGATGCCTTTCAGTTACATGAAGCTTCTGGGACACTGCTGGCTCTGGGATCTGCCTACACTGTGCCAGGATTGTGAGGCATGAAACCCCTTGAGGAGTGGGATGAATCCCAGGCCCCAACTCGTGGTCACTGAGCTACTGCTTTATTTGTTTGTTCATCAGCAAATACAGAGTTCCCAGAAGTTCTTTGGCCTAGTCAAAGAGCTCAGGATACAGGATTGAAAATGATGGAAAAGTCTGAGCCTACATTCTGGAGGGAGAAGACAGCTAATAAACTGCCAAAAAGACACCTGGCCCACATCAGAGGCACTGGGCAGAGGAATGGGCAGAGTCGTTCTCTCCAGGATCCTCTCCCCCATCCTTTCCTCCTCCCTAAATGTAAATATGGATAGGGCTGCACTCAAGCTTAAGTAGCAAAGAGCTGAAGCCCAAATCCTCAGCCTCTCTAGCCAGTGCTCCCTTGTCTGAAGCCCAAAGTTGCTGCCTGGTGTAATGCATAATTCATGTTGATCCCACAGAAAGTGAGGAGGGGGCACTGGCTCCTCAGGGCCCCTCAGCATCGGGAGTGCCTCTGTTTCTATGCCCCTCTGTTGGGCCTCCCTGTGCTCTGAGCACCCCAAGCCTGTCCCCCCACCCCCAGGGCCGTGACCGTCTGCCTGAGGATCATCGCCAACATCCTGGTGCTGCTCTCCCTGGCCGGGAGCATCTATCTCATCTACTTCGTGGTGGATCGGTCTCAGAAGCTAGAGCAGTCGAAGAAGGAGCTGACGTTGTGGGAAAAGAATGAGGTAACCAGGACTCTAGGTACCGCGGGTCCCCGTGGGAGAGGCAGCTGGGCCTCTGCCTCTTTCCTAAGTAATGCAGGAACGGCCCTAGAGAACAGGTCAGTCCTCTGGTTGAGGGCTTGGAGCACAGGGCTTTAGGAGGCAGCGCCAACGCTTGGAGAAGTGCCTTAGGCATCTCGGCAGGGGAGCTCTCTGACAGTCTCGAAGACACACACCAGCATTCTCCTGGGTCTCTGCCCGCCGCCTTGGCCCTCTGGGCTTTGGGCTTCGCTGATCGCATCTTCCCGCGCCGGGCCTCCAACCTGACTCCTGCTGATGTGCGCGCTAAAAGCAGACCTATGGTCCAGGATGGGCACCAGTGTCGCTACCAGACACATGGCAGTTTTTTTATTTCTAAATTACAAACAACGTTCCCAGAGTGAACTGCATATGAAGAGCTCATTTTCTAGACAACCTGCCACCCCACAGAGAGTGGCTAAGTGGAAGGGCGTGGACAGTCGCCAAATTTTAACAGCGTTTCTTGGAAGAATTGGCCTGATTCATCCATAAAGGTTGGAAAGGCAGACATAACATTCAACCACCTCTTGGGCCTCTTGTATGAAAATAATAGTCCCTTAGGATTTAAAAAGCAAAGAATGTAAACAATGAGATGATCACCCATTTATCTGATACATAATTATCGATGTATAATAATTTATCAAAATCTGTCACTGTTAGACATTTCCTCTACCTTTTTCTAATTTACGTTAAATGAGTAGGATGTATTGAGGTATATAATGTTATATAGATACATAGATTTTTAAAGACCTACTAAAAATTACTTATTATTTTAGATGAAACATTTGTGCATCAGCTAAAACTTCCCTTTCTTTTGCCATGAGTACAAAGAAACAAAAGCCAGGCATAATTCTCCAGATAATTAATCTTCCCTATAGAAAAAGAATATTAAATTTTCCCTTGGCCTTCCTTTTCTATTTGTAATAATTGCAGTTATTTTCCTCTTCCGCCCAGGGCAGGGAAGTGTAAATGAGATGAGGTGGTCATTGATAAATGTGGCAGATGCCAGCAAGTCCCTGCTGGCATCTGAGTGTCCTCAGAGTGCTGAAGTTCTTAAGAGCAATTTATAGGGGCCAACATATGGTAGCCTTAGGGAACAGAGAATCAGCACTCCCTGGGGAGGCTTGCAGGGGGGAGCTTCGAGCCCTGGAGGGGCTCACAGACCCAGAGGAGGCGCATGAGGCTGTGGGAGCAGGTAGCACAGGGCTCAGCAGTGCTGTCTTGCAGGTGAGCGTGGTGGTGTCCCTTGTTACCATGTTGGCTCCATCTGCCTTTGACCTCATTGCTGCCTTGGAGATGTACCACCCCCGGACCACGCTGCGCTTCCAGCTGGCGAGGTAGGCACATGCCGGGAGAAGCCCACACGGGTTGGCATCTGCCGCTCACAGTGAGAACAGGTGACCCTCCAGATCCTGACTATCTTCTTTTCCTGACACTTAGCCAGTGCTTCATCTGCAGGTGTAACTTGAGAAAAGTGGGGTACCCTGGGGGAGAATAAAGAAGGCAGATAAGGGAGCCAGAATGCAGAGGACAGAAAATCAGATTCACAGGCAATGGACAGGAGGAGGAGGAGGAGGAGGAGGAGGAGGAAGAGGAAGAGGAAGAGGGGAGGAAGGAAGGGGAGGAGAGGGGTGGCAGTGGGATGCGTATGTGGTTCTCCTTGTTGCTGAATTCCTCTGATGGTTTGATTCTGAAGAGAGAAGAGACTCACACTGTTTTTCTAGACCCAAGTGGAGTAGTATGTGCATTACTAAGTATTTCCTGAAGCATAGATTCTTCTGGAAGACACTAGAGGCTTCCAGGGCTGTCAGGCTCTTCTATGGCAGAGAAAGGGGATCACAACTACATACTGTGCTGCAGTGACATCCCAGCCAAACCACAGGAGTCAGAACAGTACTATCTTTTCCAGTAAGGGCCTGGCCCTGAAAGACCCACGCCCCTCACGGCGGTAGCCCTTTCCTAACAAAGCCAGTGGGGTTAGCAGTCTCTAGCTCACAGTGGCAGTGGGAGGTGGCAGAGCCAGTTGATCATGTTTTCTCCCCTGAGGCCTAATAATGTCCTCCAGAGCTGACAGCCACCAAGCACTTTGGGAAGACTTCTTTGCACTGGGAATCCACAGACATTTTCTGCAAAAGACCTGAGACTAAATAGTTTTGATCACATGGCTCCTACCCGTATGTCTCTCACAATGCTAAGCTTTAAGGTTGTAGCCACACAATACAAAAGTAGAAGGCTAGGGCTGGATTCCAACACAACTTTATGTACCAAACTAGATGAGGCTAAGGCTGGCTTGAAGGCTTCAGTCTGCCAAACCCCAAAACTAAAACGTGATTTCAAAGATAAAAGACAGAACCACACCAGGGACATAGCTCAGCGGCATAAGTGCCTGCCTGGTGAGCACAAGGTTCTGAGTTCCATCCCCAGTACCAAAAAAAAAGAGGAGGAGGAGGAGGAGGAGGAGGAGGAGGAAGAGGAAGAGGAAGAGGAAGAGGAAGAGGAAGAGGAAGAGGAAGAAGAAGAAGAAGAAGAAGAAGAAGAAGAAGAAGAAGAAGAAGAAGAAGAAGAAGAAGAAGAAGAAGAAGAAGTCAGAAAGAGCAAGTGGCTGGCCCAGACCTCACAGCCCAGGTGACCTAGGGTGAAGATCTAGCTGGTTCCTTCTGCTCTGCCCTGCATCTCCTCCTCCAGGGGGAGCAAAGCGCCTTCCTCAGCTCCTGCCTTCCGGGCAGGCATGGGGTGGAATCAATTCCATTATTGCATTTGGTCTAACAGCAATCCTATTACACAGATTGGCCTCATTACTCACGTGCAAAACTGGAGAAACAGAGGCATGGAGAGGCTCGGCCTGGATGAAGGAGGGCTGACTCTGGTAACAGGAGCAGGCACCTTGTTTCAGTTGCTTTAACTCACCAGTCTTTCTTCCAAAGTGCAGTGGGAATTGCCAAGCAGCATCCGCGAGAGGTGCACCCACTGTGCCCTGCCTGCAGGCAGCACCCCTGGGGTAGCTCTGTGGGGAAGTAGGGATTGAAAGCCCCAGTCTGCCCTGGAGACACCCTCAGCCTGTGCACAAACAGGGCCCAGCCCTGAAGAGCAGAAGGCGGCCTCTGGTGGCAGCAGACTCCGGCTTTCAAGTGGCATTCTTTCCTCCGAGCTTCTTTCCAGGATAGGAGAAGCTTGGCTCTCTAAGCACCTGCCTGGCAAGCACAAGGACAGGAGTTCAATCCCCCAATACTGCATGCCTTGCTAACCCCAGAACCAGGTGTGGTGACACAGGCCTGTAATCTCAGCACTAGGGAGGCTGAGACAGGAAGATCACTATGAATTCCGGGCTGCTTAGGGAGACCATATACCCAAAAAAAAAAAAAGGTTCTTTCCCACCAACTGATTTTGGACCAGTGCTCCTCAGCCTGCTATGGTGGTCCCAGTAACACATATGGAGCCAGTCGCCTCCTTCCCAGGCTCAAGTCCCCTCCTGGGCTATCCTCATGGATTTCCAAACCTCCCAACTCAGAGCAGCCAGCACCAGGTTTGTCACTGGCTAATGGAGACTAGTGGACTCCAGGGACTCACAGTAACCAGCATACTGTAGCGACACCCAAAGATCTCCTGTGTCTCGTGAGGTGTGACCTGAGCCACAGACACAAGGTGCTGGGGTCCCAAGTGTAGGCCCGACTCCCTGGGACCTTGTGCACTGAGCAATAACAAGCTGCTCTGTCCATTTCTGCTCCCTTGTCCCCTTAGTAGGAGTCAATATCCATGAGCATCACAGGGCTTCCAGGAAGGTGGGAAAATGTGCAGACACGTGCTCCAGGGGCCCAATAGGAGCTGCTTCCTAAACTCACAAGCTTTCTGCCGCACATTCTGAAACTCAGACCCAAGAACAGACCCCGGCCGAAGCCCGTTGGGAAGGATAGAGGATCCCAGCCCCTGAGACATCCTCCCAGAACAGGGTGGATTCTGGAATTCTGCACTTCTGCGCCCCTCAACAATCTAAGGAAGGCCAGGTGGGGGTGCAGAAGCCAGCACTTGGTTTTTCCATGACAGTCTAGAACAGCAAGGCAAACCTTTTTAAAAATGAGAGCACTGACTGCAACCCAAGACACATCGAGAATTGCCAACACTACAATTAAGCCTGAATACCAAGGTTTTAGAGCAACAGCTGTTCTGCTGCTGGGCTGCTGGGGCAACTCAGTTCACGTGACAACAGGGAGGGCTCCCATGACAACATTGAGGGCTCTGTGCACCCGCTGCAGCACACGTGCCATAGGTCTGGAACCCTGTGGTAGGCCTAGGCCTTCAGACTTGGATGTGGAGGTCTCCTTCTCAAGGTGGGCTTTTGATTTTCAGGGTCCTCGTGCTCTATCTGGGAAATCTCTACAGCTTGATCATCGCCCTCCTGGACAAAGTAAACAGCATGAGCACTCAGGTGAGTGCCCACCTCTGCCACTTCCCCCACACCAGGGTCACCATCGCTGACAGGGTCACAGCTCCATAGCTCGCATCCTAAGCTAAAGGTAAGGTCAGAAAAATTAGCCCAGTGTCCAGCTAAGGAAGCTGAGGCTGAGACCCACAGCCAGCAAGTGCCTGTTCTGGGATGAAGACCTGGGGCTCTTGAGTCCACTGTACTACACTGTTTCCCTGCATCCATCAGGAAAAGCTCCCAGCAAGCTCTTGCAAATGACCCCAGGAAGAGAAGGGAACTCATTGAGCAGTCAGGAGAGAGCAGTCATCTCCCAGCCCCACCCACTGCCCCAGCTCCACCTGCATCTCAAGTTCAACCCAGGGGAGCTCTGTGTCCATCTCCAACCCACTCTTCTTGGGGGACTCTCCAAGGAGTTGGGTAAGAAAGAGATTTTTGAGGGTGGTTTACCACACAGAGTACTTTAGCTACATCATGCGTTGACACAGACCTGGGTCCTTGCTCACCACCTATCAACATGGCCTGGAACATCCACCTCCTACTTATGAGGCTGCAGGTTCCTCATGGACATGGGGTAGTCATCCTTGCCTGACACTCATGAGGTGACACACATGTGTCACCTTGAAGTTTTTGATACTATATATCTATTACATTCTGTGTACCCTGATGTGTGTGTGTGTGTGTGTGTGAGAGAGAGAGAGAGAGAGAGAGAGAGAGAGGAGAGAGAGATTATTCTCAAGAAATGCATTGGTCTCCTTGGTGTGGTGACCCTGAGGGTCTGCATTTATAAACACGTGGACAACCTGTTCTTTCTTTTGTCCTTTCCTTCTTCTCTCCTCCCACAGGAAGGAGTCTCAAAAAACAACACAAGTGCTTTGGTGGATTCTGCCACCTTCTTTGCCACTGAGGCAGCCTCTGGAGAAGGGAGATGGCCCACACCTGGGTCTGGAACAGGAATAGCGAGAAATGGCAGTCAGGCCTTGGATGACACAAGGGTCGCTGCATATGCGGTGCCGCTCAGCAAGGTTAACAGGACCATGCTCCACAACCAGAGTCTGCAAGGCCAGTGCTGGGAAACATACGTGGGCCAGGTGGTTCCCTGCACCCCTCTGAAGCCTGTCCACATCCACAACCTTACCCTCCCCTCTGAGGCATCATTGTCCCTGTTTTCTAGAAAACAGAGTAAAATTTAGTGAGGCTTATGCTTTTCCAGGTCTCAAAGTTAATGACAATCAGCATAAAGACCTGTCCATGTGCTAGATGGTGTCCTCATAAGACTTTTGTTATCACCACATGCACAGTGAGGAAACTGAAGCATGGGTGGTTAAGAGGCATAAATAGTAATGAGCAGAGTAAAGACTCAAGCCCAGGACTCTTCTCCAAAATTTGTGCCCTTAGCTATTCTGCCTTTCGTCTTTGCTACTTAAACTTGGGTAGAGGCTCTCAAGTGGGCGGTTGTGTCCCACAGCCATGATTCTCCTATGTCCGGAACCTCACACTTCAGATTCTTCCCTGTTTGGGACAATGCTGACCTTAACTATGAAATGTAAATTCAACCCCATTGTTGACCGAGCACCTGTATGGGCCAGCAGCCCCTCCCTGTGCCCATGGCACCTGGTGGGACCTTGGGAAGGAGCAGAAGGGAGGAAGAGGTGAAGCAAGGCAGACTGGGGCAGCAGCCAAGTCCTCCTATGTTGCAGGAGATGCTGAAGCTGTCCATCATAGACATGCTCTTCACCGTAGCCAGCATCCTGCTGATAGACTTCTTCCGGGGACTTTTCGTTCGCTACTTAAGTGACTACTGGTGCTGGGACTTGGAAAGCAAGTTTGTAAGTGAAATACTGGGTCCTTGGGGCAGTTCCTGAAGCTAGATCCAGCCCAGAAGTCTAGGGTGGGAACCAATCAGATATGGTGGAAGGAGTGCTGGAGGGAAGAGAGGAGGGGACACAAGGCACAAGGCCACCTACTATCTCTTCTGTCCCAACCTTAACCTTTGGTTGGTGGTCACGCAGGCAGTGACCTCTGGAGTCTGTTGCAAAGCATTTCAGTGTGTAACTGTAATTAACTGAGGTCTGCTGAAGACTTTGCAACTTTTGTATTTAACACACAAATTCTTTTACTCTTCTTATAGCCTGAATATGGGGAATTCAAAATAGCTGAGAATGTGCTACATTTGGTCTACAACCAAGGAATGATTTGGTAGGCATCACAGCTTCTCTTGTCCTTGCTGCATCTCATCTGGGCTAAGATGTTGATGAATCTGAATGGGACAAAACCAAAACAAACACATTCCTAAGAACTAAGACAGGATGTGAGGGCGATCTGGCTGCGACATCTGTCACCCCATTGATCGCCAGGGTTGATTCGGCTGATGTGGCTGGCTAGGTGGGTGTCCCCTCCCTCCCTCAACGATCCACGTGCATCCCTCCCAAAGCTTCACGCTCGGTTGAAGAGGACAACTACCCTCGATAGAGGAGGACCGTTCCTCACTCAAGGGTCTACGAGTAGCTGCGCTCCCCTGCTAGAACCTCCAAACAAGCTCTCAAGGTCCATTTGTAAGAATTAAGACAGGACATTTCAAAGGGAAGTAGTTCATGCATGACAATTTATTACTGATTTTCTAAGGAATTTATGGGAACGAACAGCGAAGACAATAGTCTATTTTTAAACCACTATTGGTCACAGTCAAGAGGCCTACACTGGGAGCAATAGAAGGGGAAGGAAGACTGCAGGAAAGTAAGAGGAGAAATGCTTCTGGGAATTCAAGGGGAAGGAAGAGGTAGAAGGTAATATCTCTCCAATCAAATCCTATGTTCTTATAGTCCACTATATTTTGTAAAAAGTCTTCACAGGGCTGGATAGCTCAGTGGATTAAAGTGCCTACAAGCAGGCTCAGGGGCCTGCTGTCCCGGCCCTGCCTGAGCCCCCAGGCATACTGGGACAATGATTGAGACTGGGTGTGGTGGCAGGCGTGCCTGTAATCCCAGCACTTGGGAGGCTGTAAACAGGAGACTCGCTCAAGTCTGATCTAGTAGTAAGACCCTGAACACCCTATAGGCCCTTCCCTAAAATACAGAAAAAAATATAAATAAATAAATTAAATAAAACATCTTCCCAAATACAATACTAAAAATTGTTAGGTTTTTAGTGGCTATGCAGAGCAGCAGAAGTAGAAGAAGGGGAGAAAGAAAAGCCTTTATCCACTCTGAGGGCCCAGAGAGAGACCCAGGGAGATGCGCAGGTCCTCTGACCTGAGACAATGGGGAGCTGAGACTTCATGAACTTTTTCTTGGGGCAGAGTGAGAGGGGCAGGTTTAGTGACATCTACGGAGCTGACTGGGGGCTCCCTTGGGACACAGGAAAGGTGAAAGGAAGTTGTGTCCAGGACTGGGGCGGGGAACAAGGAAGTGGTCGTGGGGAAGATCAGCTTTTGTTTTGGGGGATTCAGCCATGTTGGATCAGGGTCTTTATAATTTAGCAGTTTGTACTCACCCTGGAACCTATCAAAAATGTGGGACACTTTGAAAGCATGCGCTAGATTCCTTTTTTTTTTTTATTTTATTTTGTGGTACTGGGGATTGAACTCAGGCCCTTGCGATCCATGCATTTTTATCAGCAGCTGATTTAATTTTTTTTTTCCTATGAAGCTGTGAGGTAACTGCTGATGTTTTCTGCACTTGAAAGTTATAGGGACTGAGGCCCAGAGAAGCTGAGTATGTTGCTCACGCCGCGAGACAGTGCGGTTGCTGTCTGCCACATGTATCAATATTTTGAAAAGACTTATTTATTAGGTGTAGCCTTTTATCTGTTATTTCCCCCCCACTAAAACTGAATTCCTCGAGTGTTAGCTCAATTGTGCATCCAGTACAAATGGACTCGGAATCAGGTGTCCCGGGTTTTGTGACATATTTGCCTCTTATTTTCAGGGTGACTTCCTGTACCAGCTTCCAGGGGAAGGCTGAATTCTTTTTCATTGGCTCAGCACTTTTGTCTTTAAAACCAAGCAGATGATACAGGGTCTCCTGATTATTAGCCAAGGGTTTTTGAGAAAATTGCTATATTTGCTTAACTTACCTTCCTTATCTATTAATTTTTTATATTTATCCTTCCTTTCATAATTTAAAGATATTTAAATAAACTAAATTATATGAGGATGCCCCACCTAACGTTCGCCAAAAGTTGGTGCTCAGTAGATGTTAATTAAGCCTGCAAGTGACCTCTTAGCGTTGTGCTCACCCTGGCGAGGCCGACTCTGCTGAAGTGTGCAGAGATAGCAGAAAGTAATTCTGCAAATGAGATAATTAAAAACAAGTCTTCCAGGCCAGCCAAATAGCTCAGTGGATTAAAGCACCTGCAAGCAGGCCCAGGGACTGGGGGTTAGATTCCCGGGCCTGCTGTGCTAGCCCTGCCCCAGGGGCAAGCTGAAACGGCAGTTGAGACTGGGTGCGGTGGTGCATGCCTGTAATCCCAGCTCTTGGGGGGCTGTAAACAGGCAGATCACTATGGTTCTGATCTAGTAGTGAGACCCTGAACACCCTGTAGACCTTTCCCTAAAAAAATACAAAAAATAAAATAAAAGCAATACTTTTACCCATGTGCAGAGTCTGGTTTTACCCCCAAGATGGGGAGACTTGGAGTCTCAGACCTTCAGGGCTTCTCCCGTCCTTTAAGCATGGGGCATAAGCCTCCAAGCCTGAGTCACGTTTCTCAAGGACTCCTGGGTGGAGCCTGAAAGTTGCCCTCGGAGGGAGCACGTTCCAACGGCCTTCCCTGCTGGTTGCAGGATGGGCGCCTTCTTCTCCCCCTGCCTGCCCGCGGTCAACGTCCTCAAGCTCATCGGGCTCATGTACCTGAGGAGCTGGGCGGTGCTCACCTGCAACGCGCCCCACCAGCAGGTGTTCCGTGCCTCCAGGTCAGTGGGGAGCATGGGCCTAGCCTGGGCAGAGACCCCATAGCAGCCATGAGCACCCTACCCGGCGGGGTCCTCAGCAAGGCATTCCCCGCACTCTGCTTGTCAAAGTCCTGCCACCTCCTGTCCTTCCCAGCTGCACCCATTTCCCAGCCTGCACTTTGGGAATTAGGCATGACTCCTCTCTAGCACATGACCCATTTTTTAAACTTCCTTCTGAAGTTTGATAATCATTTAGAAAATAATGCACAAATCATAACTGTTAAGCTTGATGAATTATATGTGTCTGTCAGTATCAGTGGTTTCCAAGCTCTATAACTATGACCTGCATGCCAGTACTTTTACATTTTACCTGGCAAGATAAGCAATACAGGGAGCTGGGGAGATGGCTCAGTAGAATAAGTGCTTCCCTGGCAAGCACAAGAGCCTGAGTTCAATCCCCAGTTCACCCATTAAAAAAATAAAAAATAAAAAATAAATCCTTATAAAGATTAGCAATACACACAAATGTTTACATTTGGGTATTTATGGTTTATCCATTTACACACATTTGTTTTATACATGTGTGTATATTTAATGTGTGTGTGTGTGTGTGTGTGTGTGTGTGTGTGTGTGTACGGGAGCATGCGCACGAGTGTAGGGGGGAAGAAAAAGAACATTTGAAGAAATCAATGTTCACCTTCTGCTTAGTCCATTTTGCACTGCTACCACAGAATCCTGGGGCTAGGTCATCTATAATGATCAGAAATGTGTTGGCACACAGGTCTAGAGCTAAGCGATCAAGGCAGCTTTGGTGACTGGTGAGACCCTAGCCTCTGCTTCCAAGAAATTCCCTTAGCCACTGTGTCTTCCAAAGGGAAGAGCACGGTTCCTCAGGTGGCGGGGAAGCAACGGGGCTGGACTTGCTTTTTTAAATACATGCCAATCCCACCATGAGGTGGTGACCTCAGGGTCCAAGTCACAGCCCAAGAGTCCCATTCCCAAATCACCACGAGGTGGCCAAGTGCTAAAGTGACTTTAGAGGGGACAAATGATCACACTGTAGCACGACTTACTATATCCTCACCAAGATTCCTAGTCAGGCACAAGGGTGGGGGGAGAGAGAGGCAGACAGACTGACAGACAGAGACAGAGAGACAGACAGATAGAGAGACAGAGAGGGAGCCACAGCAAGCATGCTTCCAGCCAGCACTAGGTGGAGGGACCATGCCTTCTCCCTGCAGAGCCATGCACAAAGTCCTGCACTCCAAGTGAGTCTAAACCACTCTTGCAGAGGAGCTAGGGTGGGCTCATAGACACCACCCAAGGCCTCAGGGACCAGGAACCACAGTGTAATGGGACAGAACAGTCACCTGAGAACCCAGGAGCCCAGAGACTAAGATACTGGATACAACTCTCATCCAAAAGAGACAGAGTGAAGAATCCTAACAGAAAGGGCCAAACACAGCTATTACGTATGTATTGTAGCAAAACTGATTAAATGCTAGATAAAAATGACACCAGGGGTTTCAGCTAGGTCATGTAGAATAAAAAGTGATGTGAGGGCTGGCCAAATAGCTCAGCAGATTAATGCACCTGCTTAGACACAGGGGCTGGGAGTTCGATCCCCAGACCTGCCATCCTGGCCCTGCCTCCAGGGCATGCTGAGATGGCAATTGAGACTTAGGTCTCAAACACCCTTGAGACCTAAGAGACAAATTCACAGCTGGGAGCAGGAGAGAGAAGCCTTAGGTGCCCAGATGGGAGCAACAGCGAGGTGGCAGACCCTGGCTCCGCTGTCTTGTGCTGAGTGGGTGCCCATCCAGTGAGCGCTGGAGGAGCGACTGGGCTCCAGGCTCTGTGATGCTCCTCTGAGCACTGACTTCTGGGTTTCAGTAGTTTGTGTGCATGACCCTGCAGCACACCCATCTCTCAGCAGCCCTAGGAGGAACTTCCTGTGTGCAGTCGGGGCGGCGTCTGTGCTGGTCTTGGGACATCTGTGCCTGGCACTGAAACTCGTGCAGCACCCAATGTCTGGCGTCATTGCAGGTCCAACAACTTCTACCTGGCCATGCTCCTGTTCATGCTGTTCCTGTGCATGCTCCCTACCATCTTTGCTATCGTGCGGTACAAGCCCTCCCTAAACTGTGGGCCCTTCAGGTAAGCTCATGCAGCTGGGCTCTACAGGGAAACAGGGTCACACTGAATGTGTTCTCCCCCTGGTTCACAGCACAGAAGCAGCTCAAACCTACATTTTTAAAAAAATAATTTTATTGAGAAACAAGTATCAATGAGACAGTTTCACAACCGATTAGTAGGACAATTTCAATAATTAATATGTTGCATATTGTTGTCTTAGTGGTTATTCATTGTATAAGATGCAGACATGACATCCTGTCTCAAACACTATTATAACAAACCTCTCTATTCATTGAATTAAGAGAATGGAGCTGTATATCTACCCTAACTATTTTGAGTATACAGATACAAAAGGGTCGCTCATTTCTATTCCACTTTTTTGGTTAGTTTTGTCAGAAAAGGGCATTCCATTGTCATTTAAATATTATAGGTGCTTGAATTCAGCAGAATCTCCCGATATAGTCCAGTAGTCCATAATAGTATTGGGTTTTCTGTAAGACTGGCAATGTCCAAAGGTGTTGACTTGAGATTTTTACAGCTCAGCGTATTAATGTGACTTTACTTTTTATACTTCATTTTCATATTTTTCTGCTG